AGACTACTCAGTAACTTAATTTATAATTCAATAACTACATTAAATAAATTAATAACTTTTAATTAAAGTCATACATTATAATCTATTAAGTTACTAATATATAATCTATTAATTTTATTTTAGAATCTTCTGTTAGTTTTATTTTTTCCCAGGGAAGGTTGGTACTGCATTCAAAGGTCAATCATAATAAGTACGGCAACACCTCCCTCACCAGAGGACATCTTTCCCCTCTTTTATTTATATTTTAATATTAAAATATTATTAATTTTTTTAGGCGCAGCTATACCCTAATTTATCAAAGAAATATTTGGGATCCTTTTTTTTCTGGAGATTTCATAACTCTTAATTTGATCTTAATTTTTGACATGTATGTAAGGTCTACTTATGTATGTGTAGATCCTACATAATGAGTGATTGGGATGTATACGCTGTATAATGAGTGATTGAGATGAGAGTAAGGATTATAAAGGTCATATATATGTGGGAGTCTCTATCCCAATTAAAATTTATCATTACTAAATATGAATTTTTTATTATTGTTACATTTTTTTTTTCAATTTTTTAAAATGTTATTCTATGTTTATGTTTGACAATTTAGAGTATTGATGAGGGCATTTAAGTAATTTTAGCCCCTCCACACCAGCTGCACGCTTAAGTCAAAAATTTAAGCACTCCCTGACCAGCTTTTGAGATAAGCTGATAAATAGCTTGGAGATTTCATAACTCTTAATTTGATCTTAGTTTTTGATATGTGTGTAAGGTCTACTTATGCATGTGTAGATCCTACATAATGAGTGATTGGGATGTGGACGTTGCATAATGAATGATTGAGATGAGAGTAAAGATTATAGAGGTCATATATATTTGGGAGTCTCTATCACAATTAAATTTATCACTACTAAATATGAATTTTTTATTATTGTTACATTTTTTTTTTCAATTTTTTAAAATGTTATTCTATGTTTATGTTTGACAATTTAGAGTATTGATGAGGGCATTTAAGTAATTTTAGCCCCTCCACACCAGCTGCACGCTTAAGTCAAAAATTTAAGCACTCCCTGACCAGCTTTTGAGATAAGCTGATAAATAGCTTGATTTAAGCTATAAATTGGTTAACTTAAGCTGCACCAAACACAATATTTTAACTTAAATTAAATTAAATGCCGAAATAATCAGCTTATAAGTAATGTCAAAACAAACATAGGATGATTGGGCCCACGGATTAATAATCCTAATCCCATGCTTTAATCCTTCCAATCAAACATGCCATTAATGCATTCATATTACACAGTAAAGATAACATTGAATATTTTTTTGAAAAAAATAAAAAGAAAAAGAACTCGTTTGGTTTTTATTTTGAGATTAAAAAAATATAAAAATACAAAATAAGTTATATAAGTCAATAAGATAAAATATCATATCCAAATTATAATCATATATTTTTCTTTCACAAAAGTTAAAAAATTTTAAAAATAAAAACCAAACAAAACTAAAAAATTCAAGTTAAAAAAGTTTCAACACAAAAAAATTAACTACCGTGACTAACGCCAAGCGAAGCTAAAGTAAGCAAAATGACCTGTTATTAAATTGTATTTCATCTATGAAAAATAGTCTAGATACTTAATTTATCACTTCTAAAAATATATTTGACCAGTGTCAAATTTTAATTTGTTAAATAGTTTATTAAGTAACATCTAGTATTAATATCGTATCATTTAGAATCATTTACATTTGATAAATTAAATAAATATCACATTGTTGTCTCAGCCAAAATAAAAAGTTCATATTGGGGTGTTTTGAAAAGTTGGTAAAAAGTTGATTTTTGATTTTTTACCAATTTTTTTAGCTTTTTGGAAAGTGATTTGAGAAGTTGATAAAAAGCTGACTTTTAACTTTTTTTTGTTTAATATTTGTTTATGGTGTCAAATCAAATTAAAATGACCAAAATATTCTTACCCAACATAAGAAATTATTTTTTATTTTTTTGCTATAGGTCCCAATTTGTGATTTCACACTTACATTTTTATAACTTCTCAAACTAATTTTATTACGTTTTTACCACTTACATTTTTAGACCAAAGATAAAAAAACGTGATTTTCTATTTTGGTTTCTAAAACCGCACATAGTAACAGAAATGTTAGAGCAAAATCAACCACAAAAACTCTTTACACAACACATGTTATGTCGTTAGTTTTGTAATTTGATTGTAGGTGTGCATAGTGCTGTTGCATCAGCAATCGTCATTTTCTAAACGTATAAACTGCAGTTCTTTTTATATATTAACAAAATTCGAATATAAAAATTTAACAATCAAATTTACATCTTAAAATAAAAAATTACAATGTAAAAATTTATACAAAAACTCATTTTTTAAAACATTTTTCATTAATCATAATTAGTGCAAGTGAAACAAATTATCATTGAAAAAAAAAATTATATAAAAATAATAATTAATATGAATAAATTACAAACATACCTCCTGAATTTTATTTAAAATATAAATTACTCCATGTAATTTTAAAAATTACATTTCGTCTTTTCAAGTTTCTAAGTACATAACAAACGATCTCGGTTATTAATGAATTATTAAGTTAATTAGTTGTTTTTAATGATATCATAAACATATTTCAATTAACAATTCAAGTAATTTTATTGTTATATAAAAGAATAGATAGAAATTTTATTTTTTTTTACTTTTTAATTATGTTAAATAAAAAGTTATGACGAGAGGAAATTTTTAATTCTTAAAGCTATAGACAACAATCTATATTTTAAGTAAATTTTAGTAAGTGTATTTATAATTTATTTAATTAATATTTAGGTCTCATTTGGCAACTTTAAATTTTAACTTAAAAGTTAATAAAAAAATAAAAAAGTAACTAACTATACAAAAAAGTTAAAAATTCTATTTTTTCTTTATTTGCTACACTTTTTTTTTTCATATAATGTCAAAAAAATATTCTAAAAATATTATTGTTTAGTTTATATTTTAATTAAAAAGTTTAACTATTACTAAAACAGCGTATTCATAAGCCGGCTCCATTTGTCAATTATATATTTTAGTTAAAAAAATTATTATAAATTATCATATTATTTTCTCTATTTTTTTACATATTTTTTATCAAAAATTAAAAAATTTACTAAAAATAACATATTCCTGAATGATAATATGGCAACTAGGCATGGAATAAAATTTGGTTTTTGTTTTTTTAATTTTTGATTTTTGATTTTTGATTTTTTTTTGTTTAGTACAACGATGTGTTCGTACCGTCCGCACTCGAATGTGTCCTTCCTCACATATTTTCTCCACCAAGTGGAGCTGGTTAGCATATCAGCCTATCTCTCTGATAACGACTTTACATTTCCAATACTATCCCCGTCAACTCACTCTATTTACCTTCCTCCCTTTCTGTCCTTTCCCGTACGGCTCTATCAAAAGACTAAAATACCCCCCACCCGACTTCATATTCAAAAACTGGACTTTTCTTTTTCAATGCTTCTACAAATTTGATTGTCAACACAAATTTTTCATCATTAAAAAAGAAAGATTAGATTGTCTTGGTCAATTATCTACTTTGGTAGATAACTGATAAACTTATGTATTTTCTCTGGAAAAATAAATGTGCTTCAAATTAAGGGTTTATTTGGCATCTACTATATAATTCATCTTTTTATCTTTTTATCTTTTTTCCATCACATCACCTCTCTACTTTTCTGCACATCTTTTCGTAAAAAGACAAAAAATACACTTTTTTAGGACATCCCAAACCAACCCTAAATAGATTTCGTTAACATATAACCTTAGGATACATGTTAAGAAATTTAAAAAATAAAAATAAAATTTGTACATTCTACATATAAATAAGTAAAAAATAATATACTATCTTTTTAAGCTTTCTTAGAGCATCTCGGACACTTTATCAAACTTTTCATAAAAATTAAATAAAATTTTAATGAAAAATTTGATCTGATATGATGTACTGATTTTATTAAATATGGATGGTTGTCCAACTAGTTGTCCGGAAGAATGTTCGGGGAGACGTTCGACTCAATGACCATTTGCAAATTTAATGATAGGATAAAACTTTATTAATTTGATGAAAAAAGTTATTTTTTCTCTATTTGATATCAATTTGAGCTCACATTTTAGGTATTTTTCATCAAATTTGAATTTGATAACAAATTTGATGTGTTAAATTTGATAACTAATTTAACACAAATTTGATGTGTTAAATTAGTTCTATTTAAAATACATGATAGGAGTCAAAATCTAACTCTAGCTCAATTTTACGATGAGTATTGTGTAAATTACTAACTACTATACATTAAACCTCATAATCAAACCAAAAAAAATCTCATAATCATTTCACTTTATCACATCCAACCACAAAAAAATCTAACTATCTTTTCAAACACAAAAAAAAAATTTCTCTAATAAAATCCTACAACTAAAAAAACCTATAAAAAAACCCACTTCCCAAACACCAACCTAGTAGATAGCTTACTATGAGAAAATGGGGGGAAAATAGTGAAAATTACTATTATTTTCTTAAAATTAACTTTTTAAATCTCTTTAAAATTAGAGAGATTTGTCAAAAAATAATATGTATTAATAATTTCTATAAAAAAAGAAAAAGAAAAAAAGAGATGGATTTACTTAGCAGCTTCGGTCTTACTTTTGTAAAAGGGGATTTTCATTTTTGACCTTCTTACTTGTATTGTAATTTATAAAGCTTTATTTTATTTTCTGTCATTTATATATATTTTAAATAAGAGGAGAGATTTTGCTAAAAAAAAAATAAAAATAAGAGGAGAGATTAACCCCCTTTTTTGTGGACTATTCTACAAACTTTATTCAAAGGGGGTAATTATGTCATTTTGTCAAGAAGTAGACCGCCGTACAAAACATTTGGGAAAATCCAAAAAGGGTATTATTGTAATTTCAGTTGTCTTCTTCCCCACTCTGTTATCTCAGTTGCTCAACCCAAGGCAGTGTCTTCTGTTAACGGTTACTTCTAAATTCTCCAACCTGTCTCTCTCATAAAACCCACAAAAAAATTCCCAAAATCATCACAAACCCATCTCCAATTTTCGATCTAAAATCCCAATCCAAACTCTTTCTTCAAAACCCATTTCTCAGAATCACGAAACTCACAATGAAGAAGCAAAAATCAACCAATGAATCTGTATTCAACAACAACAACAACCACCACTTTGATTATCTCTCTGAAGAAATCGTTTTCGCAATCCTTGATGGCCTCGATGAAAACCCAATTGACAACAAGTCATTCTCTCTAGTCTGTAAATCGTTCTACGCAATCGAGTCTCGCCATCGCAAAATCCTGAGACCCCTTCGCTCCGAACACTTGACCAAGGTTCTCAATCGGTACCCGAATGTGACCCGTCTCAATCTCTCTCTCTGCCCTCGAATCACAGACACCTCGCTCTCGATTATATCCACTGCTTGTAACGAAACCTTGAGGTCGATCGATCTTTCGAGATCCAAGTTCTTTTCCCATCTGGGTTTGTCGAATTTGGTGACGAATTGTTCGAATTTGATCGAGATTGATCTTTCGAACGCGACGGAGTTGAGGGATTCGGCGGCGGCAGCGATCGCCGAGGCTAAGAATTTGGAGAAATTGTGGTTGGGGAGGTGTAAATCGATTACGGATATTGGGATTGGTTGTATTGCTGTTGGGTGTAGAAAATTGAGGTTGATTAATCTGAAATGGTGTTTGGGTGTTGGTGATTTGGGTGTGGGTTTGATTGCTGTTAAGTGCAAAGAGATTCGGAGTTTGGATCTCTCTTACTTGCCGGTAATTCAATTTTACTCTTTCTTGAAGATCTATCTATGGTTTTTGATTGTTATGTCTTTATCTTTAGTTTAGATTTATCATTTTCATGTCATAATCATAACTTTCTTTCTAGAGCAGTTAATTATTTGGCTATTTCATTGATCTTTATCAAGTTATGGTTCTAATTCAATTCATTCCATGTTTTATGGTGGGTATGTGTATGGATTATGGTTGCTTGAGATCTTTGTCAGTTTGCTTCTTGATGATTGATAACTGTGTTTCATGTTTGAAATTGTGTAGTTTTTATTTGGGTATTTACTGGTTAACTGATTGAGCAAGGGTGTTTGTATATTTCACTGATGTGTGAAGATATTCTATGATGAATGCTTGCATTAGGAATCAAATCTTTTTAATGGAACCATGTTTAGTTTACAGAGAAGGTTGTATTCATGTCGGACACGTGTCAAACACTTGCAAATATGCAACGCGCCTACACACACAGTAGAGCGCGTAGCTGTCTAAAATTTTAAAAATAGAATTTACAAGTTTACACGTTGACATGTCTTTCAACGTAGATATGGATTCAAGCATGGCTTCATCTTTTTCTCTTGTAAAGAAAAAGGAATCTTGTGATTGAAAAACATTTTATTCGCATCTCAATGTTTTTTTATTTATTTATAAAGATAAATATTTTGTTTAGTCTAAAAGAAAAGAAAGATGAATGTTTATTGTATTTATTTGATTAGCTATATCGTGCTATTCCCTCTGTTGTGTTGTAATAAACTGTGAAGAGGATGCATGATCATAAACAGGTTTTTCGATATAAATAACAAAATATGTTGGAACTGCATCATTGTTGCCCTGACATGTGTGATATTTTCACTATGTACTTCATCATCAATCCTATTATATTTTGTCATTTTGTGTATTATTTGTTTCTCACCTTTAGAGCTCTGATGTTATTACCTTGGCTTGTGGTGTGAACAATCCATGCATATATGTATTTTCATTTTCCTTTTTGATAATTGTGATGGCTGCTTTCTTCTTTTACGTGTATAGACTGATTCACTTAGTAGGTTATTCATTGTGTATCAACATGTTTATTATGAAGACTTTTCATGGCAAGTGCCTATTACAGTCATTTACACTCAAAACAGTTGAATCATTGAAATGATTCAACTGTTTTTTTTTTTTTTTTGTAAACTAAATGATTCAACTGTTAACTACTGCTTAGATGTGGTATTCCACATGCAATTGGAATATCACATCACAAATCAATCGTATTTTGGACAGTGGTGAGTATCCAAGCTCTTCCCAAATCTATCAAAATGTCCTTTTTGGACTAAATTTCTGTGGTTCCGTGTGGTTGCTTACGTTGAGGAAATAATTTGTTCATGTATGTGTGTTACAACTTGTATGTATGTTAAAAAAACGTGTCTTGATCCTTTTTCCCTGTTTTGTTCTTGTACAGATCACAAAGAAATGCTTATCATCGATCTTGAAACTACAATATCTTGAAGATTTGGTTCTGGAGGGATGTTTTGGAATCGACGATGGCAGCCTTGCAGTCCTCAAACAAGGGTGCAAATCACTAGAGGTATGTATCATTGGAAAAATAATTGAACTCATGATGTACTCTTGTCATATCCCTCTGTCTTACATGCAACGAAGATGGCATTCTAATCATATTTCACTCCAAATAAACATGAAGAAGTGAAAAGTTCTATTTCCTACAATAAAGTAACCATTCCTGTTCCTTAAAAAATAACTGTCTGATCAGTGATTGATAAGCTTATGTTGTCCTTAACAGACGCTCGATATGTCAAGTTGTCAAAATGTTAGTCATGTGGGCTTGTCTTCTCTAACAAGTGGTACTGGATGTCTACGGCAACTTATATTAGCATATGGCTCGCCTGTAAGTCTTTAACTCCATTGCCTTTAAATACTAAATGTCCTTTTTTTATTCTTCTTTTTTTCTTTTTAAATTTTGGGGCTCATTGTACATTTTGATGGTGGTTCAGGTCACTCTTGCTCTCGCTGATAGCTTGCAAAAGCTTTCCACACTGCAATCAATTAAACTTGACGGTTGTCTGGTTACATGTTCTGGACTAAAGGCCATTGGAAATTGGTGCGTGTCACTGAGGGAGTTAAGCTTAAGTAAATGCACGGGAGTGACAGACAAAGGTCTTTCCTCGCTGGTGACAAAACACAAAGACTTGAGGAAGCTCGACATCACATGTTGTCGCAAGATAACCCATGTTTCAATTGCACACATTACAAATTCATGTACCTTGCTCACATCCCTTAAAATGGAGTCATGTACCCTCGTACCAAAAGAAGCTTTTGTCTTGATTGGACAGCGTTGCCATTTTCTTGAAGAGCTTGACCTTACAGATAATGAAATTGATGATGAAGGTTTGTCCCTTTGTCTGCTCGGGTGAGTATTTGTTGGTTTACTCATGCTATTTTGTGTAAACAGGTTTGAAGTCCATCTCGAGATGTTTTAAGCTCTCCAGCTTAAAACTTGGGATCTGCCTTAACATAACTGATGATGGGCTTATACATATTGGCATGTGCTGCTCAAAACTCATAGAGCTTGATTTGTACAGGTTGGAGACTCGAACTTTGAATTGTTTAGCTTACATATCTTAGTTAATTTTAAGGAAGTGTGGCCTAACTTCTTTGAATTCAATTGGATCGTCTATTCTAGACAAAACTGAAAACAAATTTTATTCTGATATTGATTCAGAATTATTGGACATATCTTTTACTACATTATAAACATTGGGAAATTGATCAAATTGCCAAAATTTGTTTATAAATTGAATTATTTAGTTAGGAGATCATGGCTGTATTCAGTCCCCCCTCTCGCACTGTGGGCCCGACCTATTTGAGGGAGGGTTTTTGGCTGTGGATTTATCAATCTCCTTTTATGTCATTTTGAAATTTTGAGGGTTCCATATCAGATTATAACCGCATCATTGATTTGTTCCATTATCTCTCCAAATTGTCCCTTTTCTCAGTGGCACAACTTTCTTTCACTTTCTTCTTTTTCCGTCTTTCAACCTCTCATAATTATTTGAATTTGGCTCTTCTGTTCAGGTCAGAAGGGATAAAGGACACCGGCATCCAGGCAATTGCTCGTGGTTGCCCTGGCCTTGAGATGATTAATCTCGCCTATTGTAAAGATATTAGCGACAGTTCCTTGTTATCATTGTCGAAATGTTGGAAGTTGAACGCGCTTGAAAGTCGAGGATGTCCCCTCATTACATCTTTCGGCCTAGCAGCTATTGCCACGGGATGTAAGCAACTCACCAAGCTAGACATAAAGAAATGCTACACCGTTAATGACGCCGGAATGATTCCACTTTCTCACTTTTCCCAAAACCTCAATACAAGTACTCTCTCTTTCCTCCCTCTCACAAGATCATGGGTCGAAAAGAGGCATTGATATCTAATACTAAACTCTATTTTCATTTATATACAGATAAATTTGTCGTACAGCTCAGTCACAGACGTGGGGCTTTTGTCGCTTGCTAGCATCAGCTGCTTACAAAGCATGACTATCTTGCACTTGAAGGGGTTGACTCCAAAAGGACTCGCAGCTGCGCTATTGGCATGTGGAGGGCTTACAAAAGTGAAGCTCCAGGCCTCCTTTAAATCGTTGTTACCACCACCTCTTTTCGAACATTTAGAAGCCCGTGGCTGTTCTTTTCAATGGAGAGATAAATTGTTTCAGGTATGTCATATTATCATTTTTTTTTTTTTTTGGGGTTTTTTATTCAAGCCCTAATTTTTGTCGTAATTGTTTTTCAACAAAATTGAAAAGGAAAAATAAAATAAAAACCCTTTGGTTGAGCAATGCCTGTTGTCTTGAGATTGATAATTGTATCTCTACTCATTTGGCAGGCTGAATTGGATGATTCGAGGTGCTGGAAACTACAGTTGGAAGACATACGACTTCTTTGAAGCTTTGGGTCAGGTTGGGAAGGTTAGGCTTCCTCTTCAGTGCACAACCACTCTGAAAAATTCGCTGAGTTGTATTGGAAATTAGGGTTTGTTCCCTCAATATATATATTTATAAAAAAACTTGATGAAGTAATGTTGAGCAGCTCTCCAAAACAAGAGCTGTATGCAAGGAATCCGTAAAATTCGTAATCTGATCCAGTTCGGTTCAATCCGATAGGTTTAGATTAGTTTTTTGAATCTGTGATTTGGTTCCAAATTGAAGAATTAAAAATCCGTAGTGCACGGATTGGTTTCGGATTGAACCCCATGTTTCCAGATTGGAACCGATCCGGACCGTATATAAATAGTCTATGTTTTTATTATACATTCTCCCCCATAGTATCTTCTCTTATTCTATATAAAACCTAAACCCCGTATAATATCTTATTTTATTACTTTTGTTTGTTAGTTTTTAGTTTTAATTTGTAATGATCTAAATACTTATGGTGAAACCAGTTTTCTTATGATTGTTTAAATTCTAGAACATTATGTCGTTATTATAGAAAAACATGTTACTAGTGTGGAACTAATATAGCGCTATGTTTATGTTTTTATGAAATTAAAGTGTTATATATATATTTTTTTGTTATTTAATTATGTGAATCTGTGGTCCTAAACCGATCCAATCTGTGTTTAAATGGATTGGTTCGAATTGGTTCCATGATTTAAACGAATTGGTCCGGATTTTACCTCAATCCGGTCCAATCCGAACCATGCTTACTCCTCCTATCACTACTAAAATTTCAACTTTTTGCGACGGTTAAATGCCGTCGCAAAAAACTTTTTGCAACGGCAAGAGAGGGGTCGCAACTGGGGGCATTGCAAAAGAGTTTTTGCGACGGCACTTGTCGTTGCTAATGTTTTGCGACGGCACTTTGCAGTCGCTAATAATGTTTGAAATTTCTTGACTTTTTGCGACGACACTATTTTACCGTCGCTAAAAATGTTATTTGAGACGGCAAAAAATGCCGTCACTAATAGTCTTTTTTTTTTTTTGCAACGGCAAGAACACTGTTTTTGCGACAGCACCGTACCGTCGCAAAAAGTATTAAAAAATAATAAAATTTCTATTTTAAATAATAAAATTTCTATTTTTTGCGACATTTTAGTGCCATCGCACAAAGTAAAACCTGTAACAAAATCAATAAAAATTTTCTATTTTTTCCGACAGTGTAGTGCCGTCGCAAAAAAGAAAAAAAATCCTGTAATAAAATTATTAAAAATATTAAAATTTCTCCATAATAATATAAAAATTCCTGTATAAAAATAACAATTTCTCCATAATAAAATATTCTTCCATTCATAATTACACATCAATAAAATTATCTCACTACATAATGTTCCATAATACATATATAATGTTTAAATACATGATTTTGTTCATAATTCAAAATAACATAAACCTAAATTAAATGTTTTTCTCATCATTCTTCGTAGATAACAAAAACAAAAGTTAGCCACATTCTCCACAGGCATGCATTTCACAAGAAGCACACTCCTATATGGGAAATATCTGAAAAATAAAAATAAAAATAATTAATGACAATATAATTATGTGTTAATGTTAATTACAAAAAAACATAAAAATTTAACTGCTATAGCATCAAATATAACATTTTTTTTTTGTTAGTCATCAAATCGCACATGGATAATTAAACATCTCAATCAAATACAAAAATAAAATTTAACTACTATAGCATCAAATATAAAAAAAACATAAAAATTATATCTAAAATCTGGCCATCCCAAATGTGATTAAAAGAGATGATATAATAAAGCAAATATATTGTCTTTATCAAACAAATAATAAGAATCATAATAATGAAAAGGCACATGCAGATAGTTGGAGTAAATGGAATACCCAGTGCGAATATCATTGATACCCCTAGTATCATAAAGTTTACGGGTATTATTAGTACATGGAGAATTTGAACAAAAGAAGGGTACTTTGCAACTACCTAGAGTCCGGAAAATTTGAAGCTTTTTTATGACATGTTTTGAGAGATAAGATTTAAAGATATAAAAAGGTTATCCATACATGACTAAATCATATAAATTAAGTCACAATCTGGGTTAAAATACACAACATAACATAACACAAGAACTCCACAATTAAGCAAATCAGAAACAACATGGCAGAGTAAATACAGCTGCACAAAATTATCAATATATAAATATGCATACACACAATTAAGCAAACCACATGCAACTACCAACTCAATAACTTCCATGGGGAAAGGGCAATTGGACTCACGAAGAAAAACCAATACTAGTATTTCAAAACTACTACAACAAAAATGTCACAGCAAGAACAGAAATGTTGATAACCCCATCTCGGTCAGCCATTATCCACAGTTACAAATGTAAGAACATGTGAATTAATATTAGGCAAGGAACATATGAACAGACAAACATACTAAAGTAATACAAGATTATTGAATTCTTAACAACATTATTTTCTGTAAAAAATTCTGTAGAAGCAAGTCCGCCACAAAAAATTGAAGAAACGAACTATCGATCATGATTAATGACAGATTGCAGCTTTCAGTGAAACATGATGAACTATGATTATAATAAAATTATTCTCGAGAATTGTAAGATTTTGATAACAAAGATTGGGGTATAAATGAAAGAAGTTGGGGTACAAATGAAAGACCATCAAAATCTGTTTACGAGAACACAAGTTTAAAAGAACTTCTTGTCACATCATATTTCCTAGTTAATGGTTACTAACGTGCTTATCAAAAAAAAAAAAAAAAAAATTAAAAAAGAGTTAATGATTATTAATATATACCTGAAGATTTAGTTTCTGAAGGTTATGCATTGAGTCAAGTTCAAGACAACCCAGCGATAATAACCTATTATTTGACAGGTCCAAGGTCTCCAATCTTTGCAGGGATGACAAACCAGAAGGTAGTTCCACCAATTTATTATTAGTGACTTTCAATGATATCAAGGCATTTAAATAAGTTATCTCAGTTGGCAAACTCCTCATCTTATTGAATGAAAGATCTAGATACTCTAATTTTTTAAGGCAGCCAATTTCTGGAGGAAGGTATCTGCAGGAAAAACAACAAACAAAACATCACAACTTTCTCCAAGACTCAAAACATTAACATATAGGAAAAAAGATTAGAAAATGATCAGAAATATAAAGGAACTCTATAGTTTGTTGGAATCTTATAAAATGGTAGAATTAAGACCAATACACAAAATAGTTTTCAAACATTTGTACCATTCTGCCTCAATGGACATAGTTTTCAAACTCATTCCCACCCAACAGAACACTAAAAATAATTGTAGTTTGGTTTGACTGCAAAAGGTTACACCACAATATATAGATGTTTTGCCCCTTTTTGTTGTCAATAGAATATTGTCAATCAAAAAAAAAAAAGTCGTACTAACTGTTTTATATGGTTGATGTGGATTCGGTTGTTCCTCCCTCTTGTATTCAAATGCTATTGATTGATTATAAGGGATTAGGAACACCAATAAGAAAGCTCGAGTTCTTTGGGATTATGTCATTTTTTTATATTTTGGGAAATATAGTTAGAGAGGAATGCAACGATTTTTTTTTTTTTTTTTTTTTTTTTTTTTTTTTTTTGGTGACAAATTTGAAAATTTGAAGGGGATATGGGATAAGATATGTCATTATGTCTTCTTTTTTGGCTTCAGTTGCTCCTACTTTTAGAGAGATTTCATTGTTCTTTATTAGTAGGGATTAGGGGGTAGCGTGTGATATTTAGTTTTTGCATTTTGGTAGATTCCATGTCCTTCACTTTCTTTATTGCCAATCAAAAGGGTAATTTTGAAAAGGGTAGATTCCATGTCCTTCACTTTCTTTATTGCCAATCAAAAGGGTAATTTTGAAAAGCTATTTCATGGAAATCAATCAAGAAACTCGAGTTTAGGGGAATTTAATAACTCTAGCAGTAATATTGATTATATATTCTTCTGCAAGATAAAGGTAGTGGAGGTAAAGTAGGCTATGAAGAAGATGAGATTGGGAAGTAGTAGGACCAGATAGAATTCCCAAAAAAGTCTGAAAGTATTTGGGTGATGTGATGAAAGGATAGTTTTGGTTGATTAATTTATTTAAAAATATTTTGAATTCTATTACAATAATTATGAATGGAGAAAAAGTACATTAGTTCCAATATATAAGAACAAAAATTAAATTCAAAATTGCACTAATTATCATCATATTAAACTTATGAGTCATACAACAAAACTTTGACACAGAATGATTGAATACATGAAAATGTAATGTTAGAAAAACTACAAATAGGGATGAAGAAGGTAAGTAAAATTTTATGGGCATGAGATACATAAGAGTGATCATTTTTTATATCTTGGGTTAACTAATAAACACTAACAACTAAAATCTTATTAAGATATAAATTACCTAATTTTGCTTTTCTAATTGGTAGCTATTCTTCCAAAATAACCATCATTACCAGCTTAGAGTGAGACCGAGAGGGATTAATTAACAGATTGGGAAAACCAAATTAATCATAAAAAATAAAAAATAAATAAAAAATTCACTACTACTGCAACTGTGTGACTAATTTTAGATAACAATAATCCTGCAGATTGAGCCAAGCCTTTCAACATTAATATGCAATACATTATTAGTGCAATTGGGTGCCAAGAAAAACCATCATAACATCAAACCTTAATAAGTAATGGAGAAATATGTAGGTTAGCTTCATTAGGGCATGGGTAAGTAAGATAAGTATGACTAATGCTATGAATCTTCCCAAAACGTGGCCAGGATTCAAGACAAACCCCCAAATACCAAAGCCTAAAAGTAATCGATCAGAGGTTACCAATTCGTACCAAATTATTACCATGTGTTGATGTGTCAGTTGCCTGACCAACAATAATCCAGATTTGCATTGCTTCAATTATGCTCAAATGGCATAGTTAAGTACAAACACCCAAGACCTTTATTTTCCCATAAGCTATGCTCCTCTTATATGCTTCTCCATCTCGCCTACAAACCACAGTAATCCACATTTTGCAACTCTGAAACACAATCCAAATGATGCAACTCATTTGTACATAATACATACAATTTATATAAGGAACCCCTCATTTGTAATACAGAATATACAACAATCAATACATCAATCATAATACATACAATTTTTCTCTCTCTTCCCTCATTTGTAATACAGAATATACAACAATCAATACATCAATCATAATACATACAATTTTTCTCTCTCTTTCAATTTATCTTACAACATTCACTTATATCCACAGTTTGTATCACTTATTGGTTTATTAAATTAGATAATAAAAAAAAAAAGGCGGGAATAAAA